GGAAAACTGCAGATTGTTCAATTTGAAAATAAGTATCAATAGAGATATGTGCTTTGTCTAACCTGGCACTCATTACATAGCCCAGGCTGGCCTCAGCCTCTTCAGTCCTGGGATTATGTGTATGCACCAATATACTTAGCTTACATTTTAAGCTGACTATGGATAACTCAAATTTCAGAAATTAAAACCGTCACGTGTCTGCCTGGGGCCTTGCACCCTTATATCACAACCTCCTTGTGTGGAGGCGTCCAGAACCTCTAGACAACACTGGGGAACTATGATGGGAATTCCAGGCAGTATACATACTTCGCCTGAATTTCTTGAACTAATCTTTGTGGCAATAAGTCAGGGACGACCCCTGTGGTGTGGAGAGTGAGACTGATCTCCTCTCAATTCAACCTGTGTCCCGTACAAAGGGCAGGATGTCAGAGAAACAGCCCGGGCGCCTTACATACTTAAGATCTTAGTCAAGAGTTCATAGTTCATAAAAACCCAGAAGGGCATTGGGTGTTTTCTGGATGTGAAAGTTAGCATGAGGTACTTACTGCAGAACCAATACAGGAATGGGTCATCTGCTTTCAGTGGAACAGACCACGTGCTCTCTGCCTCTTCTGATTCTCGGCCTGTGACTGCCGACTCTCCTCCTTTGTCGTTCACTCCTTGCCCCTCTCCAACCACCGTTTAGGGCCTCTGCCCTTCCCATTGCCTCCACTGCTCAAGGAACCTTCTTAACATGGGCAATGACCAGTTATAGGCCACGCCCTCTGTATCTCTGGCTTCCTGTCTTGGGGCTTTTCTGTAGATGCCTATGGGAATCTCCTGGGTGGGGTGAGGGGTTACCAGAGTGCATGAGCAGCCGGGGGTTACCACTTCCCCTTTTGGTCTCCGGGAGGACAGTCCCACAGCACATTTCAGGAGGTTCTTCGGATGGGCCAAAGGTTAGCTCTGTGGGCATCTGGGGCTCTTTCCTCATGCCTGCCCGTGAGTTAGACTATGCCTCTGGGGTGTACCAGCCAAAAGGCACCACTTCTTAGGTGACAGTCTTGAACTGTGGGAACACGGTCAATAGATATGTTTGCAAAAAAAAAAAAAAAAAAAAAAAAAAACGAGCAGACCACATTTGCGCAGACTATAGTGAACTCAGGTCTTCAGTTTCGTGCAAAACCCAAATTCCCTATTAGTTTTCAGCATCCTCATGAGCACCTCGCTCCCTGCACGCTGCTGCCTTTCTTCCTAAGCAATCCATCCTTCTCATGGTCGCTTGCTGGTGAGTCACTTATGTACGTGCCTCATCCGGGAGAAGATGGAAGTGGGAGGAGAGAAGAGGAGAAGCTGGGTTGGAGGAACAATTGAAGCAGAGGGAAGGCAGACTCATGCCGGGAACAGGCAGTGTGAGGAGGTGCAGGAGCTGGAAGGCCTGAGGATGTAGTCCTGGTGAAGCCTGGCTTTGTTCCCTGGCCTGCCCACCCTGAGCCAGGCAGTGAGACAAAGGGAAGAGAGTCTCCGAGGACTAGAGCAGATGATATGTTACACATGGACACTCTAGAAATAACAGGAGGAGCAAGGGAGATTTCACCCTGAATGTGGGAGGCACTGGCAATAAGCTGATAGCCCAGAATATGTTCATAAAACCGAATTGTAAACATCCTGGAATCCAGAGGAGTCTGGTGGCCACCATTGTCTGTTCTCTGGGCCCACTCCCTCCTGTAAACATCATTTGATACCCACTTTGAATTTCCCACATTCCCTCAATTATCTCTCTCCCGTGGGGATTAAGCCTCAGCCCCTTGACCCTTTCCATGTTTTACTTTGTCTGCCCCTCATGCACAGGAGCACACCAGTCAACGTGCAGCCCTTTGCTCCTGTCAATCTGCTTCCTGTCATTTCCTTTCTGCAGACTCAATGACGAACTTTCAGAGAGTAAGTATGAACTTCCCCGAATTAAGCTTTCTTGTCTCTTTGTCCCTCGGGATCTTCCTGTTCCCTAAAGTTAAAAATCTCCCAGCAACTTTACACTACAGTCAACAACACTGCACGTGATGCCAGACAACCCCCCTGTAAGGATCAAAACCTTAGCTGGCACTTCAAGGGCAGCAAGCCGAGTTTCCATATTTTCTCCTTCAAAGAAAATTGATGAGGACATACAAGCTGCGGGAGAGAATGGGGAAGCCAGGGAACAGAGCCAAAACCACCTCTACCAGGGAAGTCGTTCAGGTGAAATGCTGTAGAGGCGATGTCCAACGCCAATGCCCAGCTGTCAAAAATATCCTTGTGATGCTCTGAAGGCTTCAAATCCCACCTCCAAGGGTACACCACTCCATACCACGGGGTACCAAACACTGACCTTACTACCAGTACAAACTGACTAACACTAGCCAACTCTGCCTCCCCTCCGAAGAAGTATTTAAGTCCAACCATCTTGCCCACTTTGGAGTTTCATTTGTGCATGCCTGTGTGTGTGTGTGTGTGTGTGTGTGTGTGTGTGTGTGTGTGTGTGTGTGTGTCCCTCATATACCAACACTTTCTCCAGAGAGACAAGAGTGGACAGGAAACCATGGGGGTTGTGCTGGGTGTTCTTACGTGCCTTTTATTTTGTGGAGATGAGTCTTGCTTTGTTTTACAACATCTTTATCTCCATCCAAGCTGGAGGCAGATCAAAAGGACTCCACTAATCTTCCCATTTCTTTTGTTTCAGAACCTAAGATCATAAAAATACCTTCTGAACACAAAGGAGGACCATACCCATCTGTGAATCTTTCAATGGGTGTGCATGAATTTTCCACTCAACAAATTGTTGTGTCAAATGATTGGATTCATAGCATCCAGAAATCCATGTTGCATGTGATTCTTATAAAGCCTTCAAGATCTGGCAGACGTGACTAGTAAAAGTTGAGCTACTGAAATTACACATTTAAGAAAAAGCTACTCTATTTTCTCTGTATGGAAAAATATTTATAACTCATCTGCGCTTGTTTCTTGTGGCCTAAGGGCCCACTCACTTGTTTTCAAAGCCTTTTTTGGATTGAAAAATTCCCTTGAATGGAGGAAGCAGGCATTCCAGGCCTATGGAAAAGCTCCTTTATCTTGAGCGGGCTGTCATGAAATAAAAATGTATCCATAATCTTCAGTAGCAAAAAGTAATCATGAACCCTACAGATAACATCGAACTTCAGCATCGTTGACCAAATCCTGTTTCTGCTTAAGTCTTGGTAGGAAACGGCAGTTAATAAATGCGTGAGAGGAAGTCCTGATTCATCCTGCTGTTTCCAGCGTTCGAACAGAGCAGAGCGCTATTAACCACTGTTTTGCTTCATTTCCCTTCTCACTCTTTCCCCCTCTCTGATAAATTAAAGATTAGACAAGGACAGTAAGGTGACTCTGAGCTATCTACTCATATAAGCTACCAAAATCCACATGGCAAAAAGTAAGTCCCTTCTGCTGTAGACACTCAGTCTCCCCTTCCTGAATAAAACCGAGGTAGACCTTCTTTGCGGATCCTTCTTCCTTCTTGGAACATTCATTGCTTTTGCACTGTGCTCTTTACTTGCCCATAGCCTCCTCCTACAAGTCCCTGGACAGCCAGGAGCCTGTTTCACGGCACAAATGTTGCGATTTCCTAATACTCTCTAGGCCTCCGTCTAGTTATCTTTAGTGTGTGTGTGTGTGTGTGTGTGTGTGTGTGTGTGTGTGTGTGTGTGCCCATGCACTTGCATGGGTTTATGTGTACCACATGCATGCAGAAGACCATGGAGATCAGAAGAGGACATCAGATACCCTAGAACTGGAGTCGCAGATGGCCACGAGTTGCCATGTGGGTAATGGAACTAAACCCAGATGCTCTGCAAGAGCAGGAAGCATTCCTAACTGCTGAGCCATCTTTCCAGCGCCCTCCCATTAATTTGAAAATGGAGGTAAGATGACAGCTAGCCCATGGGTCACTAGGAATAGTTAACCTTGACTGTGTCAAGATCATCCCCAGTACCTTCCAAAGACTGCTGCATTCCTTTGGCATGACGTCAGTGTCCTTATCGTCCCAAAGCAAGGCAAATAACCTCACTCATGTACACTGGTGAGTAAATGCCAGGGGTGGGGTACAATCAGAACTGCCCTTGTAATCAAAACAATATCCATTAAATCTGTAGCAGAATATGTGACTCACATTCTTGTCTTTATTAACTATCTTCCTTTTCCATAGCAGTACTATATTCTTTAGAATTCTACCCAGGCATCAAGAGTGGAAAGCCACCCAGACACTAGACTATGTTCTGTGTTACTCTGATAGGCTGTCGCAGGCCCCTGTCACAGGCTCCTGAGTCTGGAGGTAAAGTCTCCCCAAATAACTAGTTTACCATTCCTCTCACCAGCATTGAAGTCTATGCAGGATCAGGGAAAGTGGCATCTCTCCGCCTTGCTCTGCAACCATCTAATACATTTGAAGAGTTCAACAGACATCTGATGAGTGAGGAGACACACACACACACACACACACAGGCACACACACACACACACACACACACAGAGGCACACACACAGGCACACAGGCACACACGCACACATGTCTGTGCAATGCCACAGCTCCCTCCCTTTGATCTTTTCTCTCCGGCAAGTGGCTTTCTCCTCACTTCTCTTTGACGTGACCCTGTCTAAGCATTTCTCTGTAAGCATTTCCTGAAGACCAATGGTGACCTTACAGCAAATAAGCTTAACAGAGACCCAACACGGTATTTTTTCTAACCAACAGAAAACTACCAACAAAGCTCTATAATTTTCACTTTTCATTTAAAACAACAAATAACCCAGTGAACCTTTTCACAATACTAATGGCCGCAAAACGCTCCCCTCCTCAATCACTTAGTCTGAAACACGAGGATGACTTCCTTATCATTTTCCATGTTGATCTATGCCTCAATACAGTGAGGGGATTTGCTTGCTTATGTGTTTTGCAGTCTGTAGCAGTGGCTCTCTCATATCCCAACAGTAAGTCTCATTTTGCAACCTACCTGAGAAACATCTGGGGAATTGCAAGTTTCTGGCAGATGGAATGGAGCTCTGTCAGATTCCCCCAACTTCTTTCGGCTTTGTTGAGACAATTCTGAGGTATGCATAGCTTCATAGGTATATTATTAGCTCAAACGTTAGTCACTGGATGCATGACTCCACCAGCACCGTGGGAGTCGGAGCTACTGACAGTGACTCAGAAAGCATCAGAAAACAGACGACTCACACAACCAAGTCTCAAGTGGAGCACCTTAGTCTTGTTTTAGTCTTCAGACTCCTACACGGCCTCTGTCACCTTAGGGTGTTTCTGTCTCTGTCCACCACACAGTCTGCAAAGCCAGCCACCCAAATTCTAATAAGAGTAAGACAAAGAACATGTTACAGCTTCTACTAGTTTAACTTCATTCTTTTGAAATCCCATCTTGGTATGTACTTTAAAATGTTCATAATATATCCAGAGAATAACATACTTTCATAGTATATAAGTATAATAAACACACAGGAAGGATGGAAAGAGATGCTCAGCAGTTAAGAGAGTGGACTGTTCTTGCAGTGGACCTGAGTTCAGTTCCCAACACCCACACTGGGCTACTCATAACTATCTGTAACTCCATTTCCAGGAGATCTAACACCCTCTTCTGAACTCGGAGGGCACCTGCACTCATGTGCACGTACCCATGCATAGTCATACACATATACGTGAAACTAAAAAAAAAAAAAAAACTTCCATAAATAAACATGTATTAGAGACAAACACAACAGTGATATGTGCACCCAACAACAACAAAACAAGTTTCAAGAGATAAAGCATGTTGGGGTAGACTTTGGGGCCAGCTGTGTCTGATTTACCAGATGTGGTGTTGGTAATTTTTCTCCTCAGCCTGGACAGAACGGACTACAGGACTTGTGTAAGCAGAGCCTCCATATGTGATGGGAAATAGGTAACAGGGGAAGTGTAGAGAAGTAAGAGGACCGTCAACAAGGGACAGGCAACCCATCCAAGCTTAGTCTTCTTGATGGTAATTCTTCTGCAACTGAATTTCTTTGAAAAGACAGAAGGTTTCTTTGGGAAATTGCAGCAGATTATCTATGGAAAGAGCAAATGTCTATTTTGAGTTCTGAAGCAGTTCAAATTCGCCAGCTTAATCTTTCCAGAAAATCTCCCATGTTGCCATTGCACAGCAGAACATTCTGGAAACAGGAAGAGATGAACTTGAAAAACCAAATCCTGTGTAATCATCTTGAAACTCTTTCTCTCCAGCTGATTCTGTGGAGAGGAGAGCTGATGCTCCCCTGGATGGATGCTTAGGGAGATGAAGCTGCAACCTGGTATCTGATAAGTAAGTGTCTGTTAGAAGTACATGGAAGCCTGTGATCTCACCATCCTGTGTTCACAGGGTAGGGTGCCCTCGGGAGTGGGATGGAGCTAGCCAGGACAGAATGGCATTGGATCCATGGGTTTCTCACTTTCCTTAGAAACTATAGGCTGGAAAAATCAGTTAATTGGAGTATTAATTATTGTCCCTTGAGACTCAGACTTGTGATCATTTATAGATGTCCCCCATTTTCTGCAGTCCCTCACCTTGCTTGAAATTCCATCACTTGAGGCAGAAGATATTAAATAAAAAGCCTTACTTGATCTTCATTTCCTTAGTAAAATAAGCAAACATCCAAGCAACTTTTACTTGTTTATTTATTTATTCGTTTATGACAAAAGATTTCTATCCCAACCAGAAACGTCTTAAATCTATGACACTGGCTTTTTATTTTAAATGTTTTAAATCCCAGTGCAGCATCCCAAGGCCAGATATTTTGAACCTGGTTTCCAGTATGAAACAGGAAGGAAATCTACAGATAAACCCCCGTAAGAGTGACATCACACAGCCTCAGAGGTTTGGAATTGGGCTTGGAGCTAAAATAATGAATTCTCTAAAACAAATCAACTGCCAGGGACTAATACATCCCAAGAAAAGAAAGGAAACAAGAGGAACTGGCGTAGATTGGAGGGCGATTTCATCCCAAGCTTTTGGGCTATTGAACCTGAGAGTAATTACAGAGTCTGGCTTAGAAGCCAGTGCTATAGCTTCCTATGTGGGGAAGCCAGTCTTGAGGTGCTGCCCTGCAAAGGAGAACTCGGAAAGCTTCTCTCAGCTTCCAAACAAAGAAGTTTACCCTTTCTGACGAGATGAAGAGGGCGATGTTAATAAGGAGGCTGGGAGTTTCCCTTTATGCTCACTTAACCTTCTGCTTCTCAAGATAGGCTTTGCTTCGAAAGGATGAGGATACATTTCCAAATAAAAACAAAGTGTATTGCAGAGGTTCTGACAAGTGCCTTTGAAATAAACCGGAAAAACGTCTGTTCTACCTGTTCATTTTCCCTCAAGCTCCAGGAACAAGATAAGTCAGAAATAAAAGCCCATGGGTGTTCGTGGCTTGCTAGGGCCATTCGGAGGGAGCCAGATAGTCCCCTTCATGGTGTCAGAAGCACAGGGGCTGTGGGGAAAACCGCCTAGATGGGGTTCAATCAGATGTCTCTGCGTGGGATCTGAAGGGATTCAAACACCCCTCGCCTGCATTATGCATTCTATTTCACCTTCCTCCATTTCCCACGGCTTTGATCTTGCCTTCCTTCCCAGGGAAACGGTTTAGTGTATGCCGAGAGCCAGCTGCTTCTGCTGGCGGAGCACCTACAAAAACAGCCTGGCTGGAGGGCAGGACAGGCAGAGTGCCTCCTCACAGAAAGAGCTTCTTCAGAAAGAGCGTCTTCAGAAGTCAACATGGAACGCCCACGTAAGAAAGGGACTGATCACGAAATGATGGTTCTCTCTCTTGCAGACTTAGGAGAGGTCACACACACTGTTCCAGGAGGCAAGGGCAATTTTATAGCCAGAAACTATGTTGAAAACATCTACATTTTCTTCTTGAGTTAGAAGCCATATTATTTGGGACATTTAGAAGTAATGTTTTGTTGTCGCCACACTATGAACAGGCCAGCTGTTATCAAACACTCAGCAGACTAGACCTCTTGCAGTTACTGTGGTGTAAAACTACAGCAGACTGAAGAGCAGGACGCACCAAGGGCAACCAGTCCCACCAGCTGTTTCGTTTCCATCTCCAGAAACGCAACCTGCCTGCTGACAAGGTAAGAAATGTTCATCCTCCCTGCCTTCTGGGCCATCTTTGATTCTTCTTTCTCCCTCACTGAAAGCAGGTATGTTAAGGGTACACTACCTACCAAGCAATGGGTCCGCATAGGAAGGCCACATTCCCAAGATACCAGGGAGCTTGCACAGTTTACCTGTACGGCCGCTGGTGTGAGATGAGAAAGATCTGTCTGTGTTTATGAAGAAGCCATGGAATGTGTTTTATCACCTCCTTATGCCAGTGTGGTTTGTTCCCCAGTGATATGTGCACCCTAAGCTTAGTCTCCAGTGTGCTCGGGGATGGTGGGACTTTTAAGTTGTGGGAACTGGGGAGTCCTTAAGTCATTGTGACTGCTGTACTCATGACATACAACTCCCCAGTCTCTGGTTTCCTCTCTTACCACATGATCTCTCCCTGCCATGCACCCTTTTGCCAAAGGAATATTGTCCCCAGAGCCAAGCAGAAGCCAACACCAGGGCTTGAACCTCTCTTTATCAGATTGGGACTTGATAAACTTCTTTTCTTTATACAGTTCTCAGCTTTAGATACTTCATTGGGGTAACAGAAAACAGACAAACGCAGCTTCATCTTACTGACTCCATAAAATGTCTCAGCATTTCCAAGCCAGTCTCTCCTGTGTCCTTCTGTCTGCCCTGTGAACAACTGTTTGAGCAATGTTACACTAGTCTAGGTGTTGTATTATATTTTGTTTGTGTTCTGACAAATAAAGCTTGCCTAGAGATCAGAGGGCAGGGCTAGCCCCTAGTTAACCATAGAGGCCAGGTGGTGGAGGCTCACACCTTTAATCCCAGCACTTGGGAGGCTCACAACTTTGATCCTAGCACTTGGGAGGCTTACATCTTCGATCCCAGCACTTGGAAGGCTCAGGCATTTAATCCCAGCACAATCGGGAGGCGGAGACAGGAATATAAGGCAAGTGGAGACAGGATCTTGGCCCCATTCAGTCAGAGGATCTGGTGAGGTAAGAAGTGACTGTGGCTGCTTTTTTGCTTCTCTGATCTTTCAGGTTATTACCCTGATATTTGACTCCTGGTTTTTCTGGACAAGACTAAATAGAGTCACACTTCACATGGCACCCAATGTGGGACTTGAACCCACAACCCTGAGATTAAGAGTCTCATGATACCCACTGAGGTAAAGAGACATTTCTTTCCTGATATCTCCTTCGTGTGGACCCACTTATTATTCTAGTAACATCCAAGAGTCACTCTGAGAGTCACCACCCTGCTTCATTTTCTTGAATCTCATTCTACTTTGCCCCCCTCCCACACATTTCTTGATTTTCATTTCTGTCTCACTTTATCTGAAAAGCTTTCCAGTGACTTGACCACCCTAGGATTGTATCTGTGTGCCCTTCAGTCTCCAAGAATCCTTTGTACAGATAATTATTTCATGAAACTGCAAATGTGGCTCACATCCCTGTCTCGCTATCAGCCAGGGTCAGAGCTCCTCTGGCTATCTTGTGCAGTGCATTTGAAGAGACCAACCAATGTCCCGAGAGGTCAGAACTCAGTCAAGCATTGTGCCATGGTAGCGATGGGTCATAAAGATTACCATTTCTTAGTAGACTGACCCATTCCTCACAACTGTGTGTGTGTGCAGGATCATGTTTAAAAAAAAAATCAATGGCACATTTCCTGAGAAGGTAAGTTTTTCTATCCCAGCTGTACAATTGTCACAAAGGTTTTGGTTCTGATACAAGTTTATTTACAATAAGATTTGGTGAAAAAGGCAAAGAAGATGAATGAAGGTCTTGGGAATATCATTGCATGGGGTGCACAGTTTACTAAAAATGAATCAAAACAATGAACAGAAGGGAAACTGAGTCTCCAGAGTAAATGTCCTACTAGGCTGCTGCTGATAGGTAGTCACTGAACCTGGAGCTGGGACTGGATGTGAACCAACTCTAACACACCAGGGTGGAACTGTAA